CGCTGCGTAAAAACTTGCTGGATAAGTTGGCGGTTCATTACGCTGTGGCGACCCCGGATTAATAAAGGGACTAAGCCGATGACAATGAATGAATGAATAAACTATTAAGCAAAGCAAACAATGTCAAGACTGTAAAAACAAGATTATTTAGCTTGTTTTAAGTAAAAACTCACTTCATTTGAACCCATTATTGCTGAAAAACACACTATTTAGTGTTGTTCTAGAAAACGCTTATAGATTTAAGAACTTTTAGATGTATGGATTTGTACAAGACAAAAACTCTAAGTAAGAAAAGCATGTGTGCAGTGTTGAGGTGTAATGTAGCTTCAATATTTCCTTGAAAACCAATTAAAAGATCTTTTTAATAAAAGAATTTATTATTAAATTCTATCGTGCCGAGCATGTTTTTCCCTCAAGATTAATAAAGAAACGACTCCCAAGTTATTTTTTCATCATCATGCCGTTCTCTCATGACTCACTCTCTAATTAAAAAGCTATGTTAATTCAAGACCAATGCAGAAAAAGGCAACAAATTGATGAATATGTTTATCAGTGAGGTAAAATAATCTGTAATGTAGCAGTTTTCTGTACTCTGTAAATCATGAGTTTATTTTTCCCTTTATATTTAAGCTCTTCTTGTATATTTATATTCCTTCCAACAACCTTTAACGTTGAAAAAGTGAGTGTAAAGTGCCGGGTTTGTGTTGCATATTATGCTACAACAACCTTGTAATAAACTGCAGCACATTTTCTGTCATTTTACACATTTATTTCCTTAGATATGATTTCTTATGCATTATATTATTACCAAAATGTCTATTAAAGTCACTGTTAAAGTGAAGAGGCATTAGACGATATCTGTTTTCAAGGTATACCAAGTCAAGGTTTTAAAACCACCAAAATGTTCTGCAATACCGTTCCTAAACTATGTGTAAGATTTTATATTTACATTTTTTAGGACAACAGTGTCTTCAGCAGAAAAAAATATCCAAAGATGCCGATTTAAATTGTAAAGAAATCCGTGTTTTTGAACCAAATGAAGACAGCAGAAGTCAATGATTCATATGAATTATTCAGCCTGACACGTTTACTGCTCCAAAATATTAGAAATCTTTTTAAAAATAAAAAATATTGTGTTTACAACCGGGAAAAAAAATGTTTGGTTTATACCCAGACATTTAAAAAGAACATATATAAGAGCTGTAATCACAATACTGTGATATTTCTATCCAAGGTTACCATACCGAATCTTATGCTGGCCCATGCCTAGTGTAGAGTTAAATTTTCAACATTAACAGGTGACAGAGCAGAGATCAACATCCCATAATGCAATTCACAACAGCAAATAAACAGAAACACCACTAAATACTGAATTGTTTTACAGTGCAGCTACTAATAAACTCGACAAACCGTATGTTTAATAAACCTTTCACTCCTTATATTCAGGAAAAATATCCCATAACAGACAGCATCACCTCATGATGAGGAATAACATTCACAATCCAACACCAAGCTGAGCTTTTACTGTAATATTGGGGTTGAAGTGATGTGAAAAATGCAGCAATTATTAAATAAGAATTAAACCAGAGCAGAAATGCAGCACATCAGCTTTTCAGAAAGACATTTTAAAAAGCTTTTGTTTAGTTTCTAGTTTAAATATCTACAAAACCTTAAATCAAGAAGCATTTTCTAGACAATTAACAAATACTGTCTTGCTTACAGAAATAACGAGTGAAAATAGTTATTCCCTAAATAGTTTAGTTTAGTTTAGAATAGTTTTTCCCTAAAATAAGCTAAACAATTTGACATTGGGTGAGCAGAGTAATCTTATTTCAAAGCAAAAACAATATTATTTTGTTTCCCTCATGTGCAGATTAATTAGTTTGCTTTAACGTTAAACTAATTTCATTTTCACTCACTATTTTGGTCTAGAAAATTCTTCTTGATTTAGGAATTTTTTGTTATTTGGACAAAAAACGAGACAAAAACTCTAAATAAAAACAGCATTTTTCTGCAGTGCGCGCAAATACAATTGATCAGAAACATTGAGTAACATTAGGGATGTAACGGTGTAACAAATTGTACGAATGCCAAACAAATCGCGATACAATTAGAGTTCATACGAATAAATTTAAAGTGAAATAGAAATAACTTTTTTTAGTACCATGACGTATTTCCAACTGAAACTAAATATTGGGGGTGGGGTTTTATTTTTAGCTCCGCCTCTCATCTTATGCTTGCAGCAAACTAATGGTTGAAGGGGCGTGGCTTTGCTTATTTTGTCCAGTTCATCAAACTGACATCAGAGAAATACTGCCGTTCAGATTGAAAGATGATTGACATGTTGTGATTAAAGTCCGCGTGAACCGGTGGTTTAATATGTTGTATACTCAGTAATTCAATATGTTGATAAACTTCCAACTGAAACTAAATATTGAGTAGGGGTTATTTTTGAGCTCCGCCTCTCATCTTTTACTCGCAGCAAACTAATGCTGTGTTCACACCAGACGCGGAAGGAGCATCAAGCGCAAGTGATTTACATGTTAAGTCAATGCAAACGCACGATAGACATCCTCTGGCATGATACGCACGAATGGCGCAAAATGCGTAAATGCCGCAGTGCAAATTGAGCATTTTGCGCACTTAACGCACGTTTCGCATTAATCGTTCAAGTTCGAAAATCTGAACTTAAGCTGACATTCGCGCTGCGTTAACCAATCAGGAGCTTGCTCTTGTGAGGGCGTGATTGTGACGTAGCGCCGGTTGTTGGTCTCACAGGGGAAATCCTCCAGCTGACACTGAACAACAGTTCATCAAACTGGGCTGGGCTCAGTCAGAAGCACCGCTGAAAGCCTCTATCTTCCAGGTTCGGTTTCTGGAGGGATCTAGTGGGTTCAGACACAGTCCTTAACGTATCGACGCTGCTTTTCAGCTTTTATAAAGCACATAAACACTGTTATTATCTTCATAAAATCCATGTTAGCCATTTAGCAACGAAGCTACAGTCACCAGGCAGACAGAAGCCCTGCCCATCACGCGAATCCACGTCAGTTCTAAAGTGAATTAGACGTGCGAATAAAGCGAGGTTTCATGCGCAAATGAAGCGAGTAAAATCAAATGTTCACGCTACTATTTAAACGCGAATAGCGCAATTTATCCACGCGTTCCACGTCTGGTGTGAACACAGCATAATGGTTGAAGGGGTGTGGCTATGCATATTTCAGTCAATCTATCAAACTGACATCAAAAAAATACTGCCGTTCCAGATTGAAAGATGACTGACACGTTGTGATTGAAGTCCGCGTGAACCGGAGGTTGCGGAGACTTTTATTTCAATATGTTGATGTACTTCCAACTGAAACAGAATATTAAGTAAGAGCCGGTTTATTTTTTTTACATCATTCCATCGTAGGAAACGAACAGTAGGAGGGGCGTGGCTTAGAATATTTTCACTGAATCGTTAAACTGCCGTCACAGATCAGATGCTCAGCTTTTGAATAAAGATTGACAAAACAAACATTTTTTCAATATATTAACTTGCACATATTAAATGCTCATGTAAATAATGACAATGTGTGCTCGCATATTAAACATTGTAAATTTAGATTTCATTTAGACTTTAAAGATGATCAAAGCAGTCATGTCTTGCAGTAAATTATCTTATTTAATTGCTCACCTTAAGACTAACAATGTGCACTAGCTAAATAAACACCGTCAATTTCAATTTCATGCCAATTTTAAATGCCACCAGCTGAAATAGAGTAAATCTGTGTTTTATTCAGCTGTTTCCTTCACGTTTCATGCAGTAGGTCCATAGTTTCACAAAATTAAAGTCAGTTTATTCTGTTTTTACTTCAATTTTTACATTACACAGCATAATTGCTTTTATTTCAACATTACTAGATCTATACGTGAATTACGATTATAAATGCAGTGGTTTCCTCTCATTGTAAATAGAAAGATCATCGACATTTCTTTAATTTGTGTAACTGGTTTGATTTGGGGTTTATTTTAAACTTTTAATTTAGTTTTGTTAAATATCAATTTTACAAATGAACTTGCAGGGATATCCTACTAAAAGTAAACGTTTTTAAATACCATATAATGCTTTGAATGTCATTTTATTGAAGTTCATGTGAAACCAGAAGTTTACTTGACCACAACTAAAACAGAGGTTGCGTCCGAAACCACCTACTACTCGGTAGGTACTGCATTTGAATTCAAACGTACTACTCTAGAACGTACTTTAAGAAAGTACGTCCTATACCACACGAATGGAATTCGGACATACTACATCCACCATTTTGTCATGGTCACGTACATGCGTCAGTTGCATCGCTTCAATCCCAAATCATGAATTCTCTCGCGGGTCATCATGGTATAGCACAGAGTGCATGGGAAGCACACTTCAGAATCTCGCCGGAAGTAGTAAGTCATCCGGGTAATTCTCACATACTGATTTTCGAATTCTATGAATTCAAACACACTACTCAGCTCACATACTGATTTTAGCGTACTATATAGTATGGAAGTATGCGGTTTTAGACGTAGAAAGAATATTGAGTAGGGGGCAGGGCTTTATTTTGTGCATCATTCACTGGTAGCAAACAAATTGTAAAAAGGGCGTGGTTTTGATTATTGATATACAGTTGCCATGGAAGCCCTAAAGTTGACGTTCGCCACTCCAAACATGACAAAAAAATGGACAGTCTTTAAGCTGAATATTAACAAAACAACTATTTTACTTAATTATACCCCCCCCCCTCCCCAAGAATAACAATGTGAGCTAGCAGATTAAACATTATACTTTTTTTTCAAGCGAGCTTTAAAAAATAAAAGTGAGAAAATCTAATCACAATATCAAAATCGCGTTTCAAATCGAATTGCTAAACCAAAATCGCGTTTCGAATCGAATCGTGAATCGAATCGCGAGTTGAGTGAATCGTTACATCCCTACAAACAAATCAAAGAGAAACACAGAATCCAGTCAAAATCTCTACCTGATGTGGCATCACCGTTTACTCTGGATTCACACGCGCCAGCTTCACATTTAGATTTGCCTCCTAAAACACACACACACACAAACTTCGATAAGTTTGACAGAAACACGAACATTATCATTGTTATTACTATTCAATGAACTGCACAGCACTTCAAATCTGCTACAAATCATGCAGAAACATTGTTTACACACTAACAAACTAGAACAAAGTGCGAAATCATATTCCAGAAGCTGATGCGTGTGTTATTATGTTGTCCTGTGTGTGTCAGCATGTCACACACACACACACACACACACACACTGTCGCGCACGCGCCCGTGCACACATACTCTCCACGGCCACATATTCGCCCGAGAACTGAAAACTAAAGCGACATAATATACTCTCCCCATCGCTGTAAACTCCCAAAATATCAGCAAAGTGCATTTTACCTGAGTTAACGGCACTATTTTCCGTAAGCATCCACAGAATCCGAGAGCAGGCCGCAGTTTAACTCGTTTTTAGTCCCACGGAACGCTTCTTTCTCCAGATAAACCAACAGTAGACGGACAGCAGCTTTACAGGCCCCGCCCTCCCCGCCTCTGCCTGCATATCTCTAGACATAGTTACCGCGGCAGCCAATCTCAGGCGGCAGCAGCCTTTAAATCTCCGCGGATTGGCCGACGCGGCTGACAGCTCGATTGCGATTGGCCGACTGGCGCGCCACTGACTGCATCGGCGGGTCACGCCCCCTGGCCTGTAGGGGTGTGTCCTGACGTCACCGCTCAGCCGCTAAGAGGTAAACAATCTGTCCCTCACAGTGTTTCTGTGTTTCCAAAGTTAAAAATATCAAAAGTAGGTCATTCAAGAGAAAAAGAGGAGCAGTGCAGGCGGGACACGGAGAATGGGACGCGGTGAACACTGCTCTATCACACATGTGGGGGCTTTCTCGCAAATTAGGGCTCGATTTGTGGGGGTTTCCTTCTCAATCACTCTGATATTTACGTATGTTCCTATGATTACAGTAATATAATCAGTTCTCTTATATTTTAACAGCGACTACAGGAGTTTTTGTTGTTATCTGTGGTTATTTCCTTAATTTATTTGTTTATTACATTATTACATGATGGTCAATAGCATTAACAAATAGACATTCATTATAAAAATTATAAAAGCAGTATTATGTGTACATATAATTATTAGATTATTACATGATAGTCAGTTGTAATAACATAACAGATACTGATTAAATACAAAAATACATTATGTTTTTAAATATTATGTCTATTATTTAGCTATTTTATTCCCACAAAAACACATTTGCACATCCATATTATGTCATTTAGTGGAATAATATAGCTAAATAATAATAGACATAATTGTAATGTATAGAACAGTTTCCATATTAAAGTTTGCATTATAGTAGGCTATGGTGTCAAGAATTTAAAGAATTGTATTGCATTTCATGGCACACGTTGTTCCTTTTCATTATTAACATGATTTCCAGTAATATAATCAGACTTTTAAATGTGTTTTAACAGCAACAAAATGTGATTTTATTGTTATTTGTAATCATTTCATTTTCATTTATTACATTATTACTTGATGGTCAACAATATTAACAGATAGGCATTCAATATAAAATTATAAAAACGTATAACAACAGTATAATAAAGGTATTATGTACTTATTATTGTTATTTTTATTATTATATTATTATTATTACATGATAGTTATATTAACATAACAGATAATGATTGACATTAAACAAAACAGTTATTCTACAGTATAATAAAGGGATTGTGTTTCTATATATATATTATGTCTACTGTTATTTTTTAGCACTATTAATTTAATAGTAATGTATCGTACAGTATATTAAAGTTTGCACTGTAATATGGTGTGGTGTGAATGATTTCAATGCAGTCCATTGCACAATATGTTCCTTTTATTTTTAATATGATTTCCAGTAATTTAATCAGATTTTTAAATGTTTTCACAGCAACTGTTGGGGAATTCATTGTGTCTTGATGAATTTCTGATTAATGTATTACTCTCATTTATATGCTTATTTGAGTGATTTCAGTATTATTATTATTATTAATTTTATTATTATTATTATTATCTATTGTATTATTACTCATACCTGTAGCATTATTATCAGGTATGTGTGATTTGGTTAATAAAACAGTCATTCTGTGTAAATGCAGTCAGAGATGAGAAGATAAATTAGAAGAGCAGCATTGATGTCACAATGAGGGTATATTTATGGATGCAAGGCCATAAGGACACCTGCGACCTGTTCTGTAACTCATAATAAGGTACCTGCACGTGCGGCCACACTCATTTGTACTGACATCTAAAAAAATATGAGTACCCATGAACTTACAGTTGACAGCTCATTGGACAGTGAACACGATATATTGTTGAGCATTGCTTTTTGGCTGAGTCATCGCTTTTGAAACAGGAAGGAAAGACCTTAACTGAACATGGGTAAGACCCCTGAAAGACCCTGAGACTTTATTGGTGGCGGGCACATGAGAGATTTAAGATCCCATTATCGGAGAAACTGATGGAGGGTGTGTAATGTGTAAATTTGGGTGGAGTATTAAGACACAGAAATGAATTGAAACTGTGTGCAAGCCTCTGTTTGGCAGACATTCGAACGACCTGTCTCTCTTGTTACTGATGCTGTAACAATAAACTGCTTTGCCTAAAGACTTCGGAGATCTCCGACTTTGTCATTCTTTGAAAAGTTTGACTTAGAGACTTAGAATATTCTGCAGACCAGAATCAGACCAGAATACCATAGCAACTGTAGTCACCACAGCCTATTAATTACTATAGTAGCCATTACCATAGCAACTGTAGTCACCACAGCATATTAATTACTATAGTAGCCATTACCATAGCAACTGTAGAATCACCACAACAGATTAATTACTTTCGTGGTTGTTACCATAGCAACTGTAGAATCACCACAACAGATTAATTACTATAGTGGTTGTTACCATAGCAACTGTAGACTCATCACAATGAAATAATAACTATAGTAGCTGTTACCATAGCAACTGTAGTGTGGTGTATTGGGATAATGTGTGTGTGTGTAATGATCTGGGTGTTGGTCTCGCTATTGATTGGTTCTTGACAACTATTTAAGCCATGTGATGTATTGTTGTGATGACGTTGTTTATACCTATGTAAAGCACGCTTGATGGCATTTCTGTGTGTTTGCCTCGTAAATATATAACAAACTGGCGAAGAGGAAAATTGTGTGGATATGGCCCAAATCGGAAGATTAGATGAGTATAAACCAGAAAATGAGTCCTGGTCAGCATATATTGAGCGAGTGGACAACACCACAAAAGATTAATAACTATAATTGTGTTACCATAGCAACTGTAGAATCGTCACAACAGATAAATTACTATAGTAGCCATTACCATATTAACTGTAATCACCACAACATATGAATTACTATAGTAGCCAATACCATAGCAACTGTAGAATCACCACAACAGATTAATTACTATAGTCGTTGTTACCATGACAACTGTAGAATCTCCACAATGGAAAAATTACTATAGGAGTTATTACCATAGCAACTGCAGAATCACCACAACAGATTAATTACTATAGTGGTTGTTACCATAGCAACTGTAGACCTGTCACAGTGAAATAATAACTATAGTAGCTGTTACCATAGCGACTGTAGAATCACTACAACAGATTAATTACTATAGTAACTGTTACCATAGCAACTGTACAGTCCCCACAACAGATTAATTACTATAGTAGTCATTATCATGGCAACTAGGATCACCACAACAAATTAATTACTGATAGCTGTTATCATAGCAACTGTAGTATCGTCACAACAGATAAATTACTATAGTAGCCGTTACCATAGCAACTGTAGAATCACCACATCATATTAATTACTATAGTAGCTGTAACCATAGCAACTGTAGAATCACCACAACAGGTTAACTACTATGATAGCTGTTACCATAGCAACTGTAGAATCACCCCAACAGATTATTTGAAGCATGTATTATAGTAGGGTTCAGAAACACTGTAGTATTTATTTACTATACATTAATATAGTATTTTTTCATGTGGGGATGAATATTATTATCATTATAAACTGTAAACTGTAAAATGTAAACTGATGTTCCTGGACAACAACATGTTAAACTGCGCTATATTTATCTTTGTAAGTCATATAAATAGTAAGATAAACTGTACACATGCTTATTTAAAGTGATCACTCTGCTTCTGGAGTTACAGAAACATCAGCCTGAGTAGAGTCTGTATGAGTTAAATAAAACAAACTGAGCTGTACACCTCACACAGCTCCTGTATCTGACTGTCACACATCACTCCAGAACACACTAATCCGGCAGGAATTTCCTCCTAATCCTGAGGGATTCTGTTGGACAGGGAGGGAATTTCCCATCCGGGTCTTGCAGGATTATTCCCTAATGAACACACACTCCTGCAGGACTCCAGTGTAAGTGTGTTTGAGAGAGAGAGAGTGAGAGAGAGAGGATGCTGAGTGTGATTTAGTGTTCATGTGTGTCACATATGTGTGTGAGAACGAGTGTGTGTCTGTATGTGTCTGAGAATGCTGTGTGTTCATATGTGTGTATACCTGTGTGTGAGACAAGTGTGTGTGTGTGAGAGAGAGTGTGTGTCTGTATGTCTGAGGATGCTGTGTATGCTTCAGTCTATCTCATGTGTTGTGTGTGTGAGCGTTTGTCTGTATGCATGTGTGTGTGTGTATGTGGGGGTTCTTTGTGTGCTTCAGTGTGATAACGTGTCTGTTCATATGTGTATGTGTGTGCCTCAATGTGTGTGGGCTTCAGCGTACGTGTCTCGTGTGTGTATGTGTGTGCTTTAGTGTGTCTCATGTGTCTGTGTGCGCACTTCAGTGTGTCTCGTGTATGTGTGTGTTTCATGTGTGTGTGTATGCTTCAGTGTGTGTGCTTTATTGTGAGTTTGTGTCTTCTGTGTATGTGTATGTGTGCTTCAGTGTGTGTG